CGAGGTCCCGCTGGAGAGCGTGGTCTTTGTCGAGTGCAGCGCGCGCCGGGTCGGTGGAGGCTCGGGGGGGCCCGAGGTAGACGCGCTTCGCCAAGAAGAGCCGCCTACTCCCCGCTCCTCGGCGTGGGCGTACTCGACAGTGAAGTCGCCGTCGTCGTCGGAGCCGAGCCGTCATCCACCGCTTGTCCCCACGTCCCATCCCGCCCATTCGTCGAACACAACGTCAAGCGCGCGCGCGCGCATACACGCCGTGTCTTGGTCGAGGATGCGGTAGGCCTTCGAGCCTCCCGCGCGTGGCGATGAACACTCCCGGAGTGCTCCCTCGCCGCCGAGCTTGCTTTGCTGTGGCCAAGCTCCTTGGCGAACGCGAGGTAGCCGAAGACCCGCAAGTGGGAGACCGCCGGCTTGCGCCCATGCCAAGCCTCGTAAGGCGTCCTGCCGTCGAGCGCCTTGGTAGGCGAAGGTTGAGGATGTAGACGGCCGTCACCACCGCCTCTCCCGAAAGACATGTAAGCATCCCCTCGCTGAGGAGGGCCCGAGCCATCCCCACAACCGCTCGGTTGCACTGCTCGACGACGCCGTTCTGCTGCGGGGGTCAGACGGTAGCGCGGAGTAGTGGCGCCAATGCCCTCGTCGGTGTGATCGACGCTGGTCGATCGCCGTGAATTCGCCGCCGCGTTGTCGGTCTGCAAGACCGCGCAGCGACTTCGCGGCCGCGACTCGCCCGCAGCGACTGCTTGTAGCGTCGATGGCGTCCGCGCTCTCCCCTTTGCTGCCGAGGACCATCACCCACATGTAGCGGGAGAGGTCGTCGACGAGCAGCGGCAGGAAGTAGCATCGTCCTTCCGGTGTGGCGGTGTCACCGGGCCACAAGTCCCCGTGCACAAGCTCGAGCCTCTCCTTGGCTCGGCTTCTCGCCTGTTGGGGAAAGGGGAGTCGCCTCTGCCCAACACGCAGACGTCGCAGAGTCGCTTCACATGGTCGAGGCACGGCGGACCTCGCACCATCTCCGTGTAGCACCGAGCCGCCTGGGCCTCGAAGTGAAGGTGCCCGGCGCTGCTGCGCCGCTGCCGCCTCGTCATCCCGACGAGTAGCGAGACAGAGGGGTTGTGCCACACACGTTGAGGACATAGAGTCGATTTGCGCTTACGTTACCTTGGCAAGAAGGCGGCCGCGGCGATCCCAAATCCCCATGACTCCATCCTCAACCACCACGCGCGAACCGTTCTCATCCAAATTGTCCCAAAGGCGATGATGAGTTCCTCAACGCGGGATGTAGTAGACTCCGGTGAGCAACCCGTGCTCACCGAGACATGGCGATGAAGATGACGGAGCCGACGCCCTTGATCTCCACGCCGGAGGCATCCCCAAACTTGATGAAGCCTCGGGCGCTAGAGTCAAGCTCGGTGAAGAACTCCGTCGACCGGTCATGTCTTTGGGTGGCGCCGGTGTCGAGGCACCACCCGTCGATCTTATCGTTGCGGTAGTCATCCGCCGAGGAGGCATGTGCTTTTGGCTCGTCAAGGTGGAGGAGAGCCGATCTGCGCCGGTGCACCCGGAGGTAGCTTCGATGCTTGCATGTGCCATGATCGAGCCGGCTCCTCCTCCTCCGCTTTGTCGGCGTGGGCTGGCCGCGTCGTGGTTGCGGCGATCCTTGGCCCAATGGCCAAGCTTAGCCGCATTCTTGGCGGCGTAAATCTCGTCTTGCGGCTTGTACTGCCGCCGGCGGCGCCACCTGGCGCGCTCTGCGGACATCACCCTCGGCACGTCCTCGCGCCCCGGCCTGGGCGTCTCTGCATTTGCGTGGCTTGCCACGCTTGCGACCGCCTGTCGCGGAAGAAGGCTCCCCCTTCTTCCGGTCACCTTGGCTGGCAAGCCACTACTCCCGAGTGAGAAGGAGCTTCCCGCCAGGTGATGGGCCCCGAGAGAGATCAGGCACATCGGCCGCCGATGACCTTGAGGCGACCTATCGCCTCCTCGATCGACATCGTGGAGAGATCCAGCGAGGACTCGATCAAGCGAGCCATCTGCTTGTACTTCTCGGGGGCACGCAAAAGAGCTTTTCGACGCTCTCTCTCTCGCCGTAGGTGTCATCGCCGAATCGCACCATCTTACGCAGCGAGTGTTGAGACGGAGAGCAAAATCATCAACGTCCTCACCGGCTTGAAGGCGGGTTCTCCCACTCCTTGCGAAGTGCTGCGGTGTGGACTTGCGGGCGCGGTCGCTACCGATGCGTGCCGCAGCGATGGCGTCCCAAGCCTCCTTGGCAGTCCGCTTGTTGGTAAGCGAGAACTGCATCTCGGGCGGGACTGCAGCGATGAGGGCATCCAGCACCCGTCGATCTAGGTCGTAGTCGACATCGCCGTCTCGGATCGCCTCCCACATGTGGCGCACTGGAGCTTTACCCTCATCACCGCGGCCCACTCGACGTAGTTGGTCTTGGTGAGGGTAGGCCACCCACCGCCGGGACCGACGTCCCTGACAACAGCCTGGGTCCCTGACAACACCCCCATGCGCGCCTCCTCCAGGAGCGCCGCCGCGGTAACGTCCGCGCTGTCTCGGCTACCCTTCGCTTTCGTGGGCGTCTTGGCGGCGCCTTCAGGCGCCGCCAGCCATGCCTCCCTCTCTAGCACTCGAGGTCCGCGTCGGCGATGTCGTCGGCCGAAATGGAGCTGCCGTCTTTTGCCAGCAGAGCCTCGACCTCCATCTGCCAGCCGCCTGCGCATTTGCTTGCCGCATTGCTTGCGCCCGCTTCCTGCTGCTCTTCTGCCGCTGCCACTCATACACCATTGCCGACCTCGGCGCCCTTACCGCCCGCTCGCTCCACGTTCCTCTCATGCGGCAAGTTCGGCCTCCTCCGACGCCAGCGTGCTTCGAGGCGACGACGAAGCGCTAAGATCGCCTGCGGACATGACATGACGCTCTCTGGGGCTACTGCGTGGGGAGAGAGCTTGCCAGACAGTTCTTTGCTGCGTGCATGCGAAGAGAGGAGTGAGCAGGGGCGGCCGGAGGAGCTACTGCTACCAACAGCTGGGGCGGTTGTGGGGCTAGGAGGGAAGATGAGCAGGAGATGCTCAAAGCTACAGAGATAATCTGGCTCCGATACTGGGCTTGTTAGTCGTTGAACTCTCACTCTCGGTAGTAGTAGAATTCTTACTCTCATCGAGAGAGGATGCCACTAGGAGTTGGGGCAATTTTACGGTTTATTTCTCACACAAACTCACACAAATGTCATGCCAACCTAAGGGGTTGGGGATACATATTATAGGTCGCTAGCTAGCCAAGCATATGCCAAGATGCTAGTCTAAGATGCTAAGATGTTGTCCTCTAGATGCTAGTCTAAGATGTGTCCTAGATGCTAATCCTAGATGCTAAGATCTTGTCCTAACCAGGTCAAGGATGTCATCCCTTGTGGCGAAGAATACCAACAACCAGCCATATCCCACAGTCCTTGTGGCGTGATGACACAATACTAATTTCCCACAAAGACCGTGACCAGCCAACACAACACAGAGACTTATCCATCACGTATAGCTCGACCGGTAAATTGGCTTACGAAATTCTTCCTTCTCCTTCGTGTACCAAATACGCAGAATCGCTGCAGTGGTGATCGAAATCGCCTTTTTTTTTGTTTGTGGCCTTTTTCGACGGAGTGGGAACCGAGGGGGGTGGGCGTCACCACGCCCCTCCGGCTTCGACCTCGGCGTGGCGGGTCATTGTCGCCGACGCCGGCCGGGCCGAAAAGCCACAGTGCTTGGGATGAGGGCCACCGAGATCGCCATCACTGCGTCCCCCGCGCCTCCCTGCGCCTCGTGCGAGACCATCCTGGCGCGCGTCGCCCGAATGGTACCTAGCTCAAGTGGCTCTCGCCTGCTTTGGCATCCAAAAAGCAGTACTCTTCGATTCCTAAAAGCTGGAGCCAAGTAATGCAATGCGAGTTCATCGAGGTCAAGGAGAAGATGAAGCGGGGCGGGGGCGTCGGCCTCGTCGCCAACTTCGTGGAGGTTTCACCGGAGAAAAAGGCGGCGGCGTCGAGCTATCTGACTGATTTGACGCGACGACATCGGCGAGACCAAAGCTCTCGAAAGCTAGAGTCGCGGACGATCCTAGCCTTAGCTTGTACATGGAGAGGCATATGTGTGCGGCGTGATCATTTACATCCGATTTACGCTATCTGAGAACTAATCTGAGACCGTAACACACGCGGAAACATGGCGAGTCCAGTCCACTTTGTCTACATATGAATCGATCTCATGTAGCATCTTATGTAATCTCCCATCCCAGCATTATGAACCTTTTGGTCCCAAAATTTTGAATATTTATCAATATTAAATCTGAGTTCAAATAATTGCAAGTTGTGCCAAATATGTTTGACCAAATTTAATCAATTGTCAGCATACAATAAAAAAGTCTAATTCCAAATCAGGGTAAAATCACAATTAGGCATAACAAACACGGGCAAAATCGCATGGGCATTCATGTCCTTTTATACAAAGTTTAACACCGTTAGGGGTGGATGACGGAGCAGGGGCAAACTGGTGCTTCGTTTTGAAATCATAGGGGTAAATTCACAAAGTCAAAAAAAACAGGGACAAAATCACAATTTCGATACAAAACAAGGGTACAAATGCAAGAGCCCCTTTTATTTAACATCGTAAAACATTACCAGCAGACACTTCCAGGGCATCTATTTGGTTAATAAATAGACAGACTAGGGCAGGTACTAACAGATGGATCTCCATGTAACAGATACTGATAATGTGGGATACTTAGCTCTATAAATACATCAGTATTATGACAATATATGATACTGTCTGATAGATTGGTGGTTGTTTGATGAGTGATGACCATGCAAAATGCTTTAGACATGTGCTAATTGATATATTAACAAGAATATGCACAGATCAGTTCAAATGTAAATTACAATCCTATACCAATAAGAATAAATGATGTAAAGTACTTAAAAATCAACAAAGTTGCAATATAACATCTGCAGATACCTGGGCATGTGAATGAAGAAATAGTTCATCGTCTTCCCGGCAGAACGCACCAATTCTGCGTACCTCAACAAGGTTGCCTGAATCTCGGATCTGTAGGATATGTACTGTTTGGTACCGCAGAGAAACAATACAAAGCAGATCCTCATACAAGTAAGCGCCAATACTATGTGCCAGATTGATAAAATCATTGCAGAAAGCCTTTTCATCCAGTATCACGCCATCTTCTAGCCTGGTAACACAAATAGCGATGTCCTAATCCACCCAAACGATGAAAGCAATTGTTACAAAATATATTGTAACTTGGATCCCCAACAAATGCATTCCTTCTGAGACAAAAATAGTACCTCACAAGATAAAAAGTTATTTTCTCAATTGATGGCACCCCGTGTATTGCACCCTCAGTGGCAGTTGAATCATTACTTTGTGCAGTTGATGTTGCAAATAAGCCAAATTGATTGCATTCCATGTACAGGAAAAAGTCCTTGCAAATGTACTCATTGCTGGATGCAAGTGGAATTGAGTAGAGTTGCTTAAAGAAACTATCAAACTTCTTTGATTTTGCTGGAAGATCATGAGAATCACAGTCTTCATTACATGAATATGTCAACCAGATGGGACGGTATACAATCAAATCTTGGTGATTCCGGCTAAAAGCCACAAGATATTTCCCATCATCAGTGAACTTGCGAAATGAATAATCTGGGCAATCTATGTCATATATAGTGTAGCTTGGGACCAAATTCTCGTAGAACTGTCTAATAGTGTTAACCTGCCAACAGTATGGAAAGAACCAAAAGAAACTCAGATTTTACTTGGTCAGAGAACAATTGGACTTTAATTTGAACATTAAAGAGCATGCTACCACCTTTTGTTAATAATTATGCATTTTTACAACATTCGCCAAAGCAAATGACTTTACGAAAAGCATTTCCTAACCATACAGAAATGAATGTGAATTTGCATACATAACAGAAATGTATGGTCTGAATAATTAATTCCGAGCTAAGCATAGCTTAAAAGAGGCATCATCCACGCTAACCCACGGTCACTTGAGCACATTAGTCATATACAGCCTCAAGATTGGCAGGACAAAGTAGACATCAGTTGGAGCATATCCCAGCAATAGCATTCAGAAAGGCATGATCTGGCTTTGGTTATCTTCCAGCATTTCAGCGTCCTTTGCAAGCAAAAAGACAGTAATAGTTCGCCAGGTACGGTATTTCTTATCATCTGGATTCTGGAACCTGCTGTCGTGCAGCAACATCACCGCACCAGGCTCACAGAGGCAGAGCAAAAGGCTAATCCAATCCTCACACAGTCTTGGCCTCTTGGGGCAAACACGAACTAGCAACCGCAGCTAACCCTTTCCAGGCCTAATCCGCCGTTCCCGGTCGATTTGCACCGGACAGAAGACACGACCACACACACACAACGACAGGAGGGAGCAGAGGATGAGGAGGAAGCGTACCGCGGCGCCGGGGCGCGGGGAGAGGAGCTGCCGGTCGAAGACCCTGGAAGCGAGGTTGCTGCTGCGGAAGAAGCGCGCCATCTCAGCGCGCGGCGGGAGGTAGCCTCAGCGGGAGCATCGCACGCGCGGGGGTAGGGGGATCGGAGGGCGGGGAGCCGCACCGCGACGGGCAGTGGCCGTGGCCTTGCCCGGCTGGGCTGGGTCGCGGTGGGCAGCTCGTGGGTTTCTTCTCCCCTCAGCGGCAGAAGAGCTGCCTGCGGGTACGGGAGCGAGCTGAGGAGGGAGGGGAGGGGAGGGGATCTTCGCTTTGTGGCGGTGGTGAAATTTTGGGAGGAGACGGACGGCCAGACGGGACGGGAGCGGCGGCGCCTGGGGAAGTGTGGGGCGGAGGAGCGGCGGTGACGCGCGCTAGTCAGTGGGGGTTGGGATGTGAGGCCAGTGTCAGCCCACCGACCGAACCCACATCTAGAATTACTGCAAATAACAAAGATTCAATGAAAAAACTTGATGCGATAAGATCTTTGAAACAAGATCACTTGACTATGTTTAAATAGCTCAAGATCACTTGACTATGTTTAAATAGCTTTCTAGGTAAAATACTTTTACACTTCTCCTATATTTCGTGTCTGAATTTTAAGATAATTTTAAGCAACACTCTTCTACAGTAACTAGTACAAGTAAATTGTTACCTTTGTGATTTGTTATTTGTCTTTATGTCGTAACATATTAATTTTTTATCCTCCTATAGAAAATAATTGTAAATTATTCATTGTCTTTGCGCCAACATAAATCAGATTTTATCAGGTTCGTGGTTTTATCTGACGTACCTTTTATTTTCGGTACCGAAAATTGTAGTTTGTGCTTACAAAAATTGCAATGAATGAAATCTATAATTTTAATATAAAATATATGCAATAATCGTCGTCCGAAAGAAAACTAAAACTCAGACACCTGAACTTTAGCAAATCCCATACTTTTAAAGGTGGAACAATTTTGTTGTGAAGCTAAAACAATTAGTTCAGCCTCACAAAGAAATTTTCCAGCTCGTTGCAAAAAAAAATCCAGCTTAAAAAATTATTCAAAGAATATTCATCGATATATGGCCAAGTGTTGTCTAGTAATCACAACTATGCAATCGAAATTTGATTTGAAAATCTAGGTTAGAAAATACATTATGTTTCTTTTTTTAATCACGACTACAGACTCAAACACTCATAAACACGTGCATACTCACCCCTACGAAGACAAGCACGCAAATCCTACCTATATGAACCTTTTTGAGAGATTGGATGGCTGGATCTTGAGATAGACAAAGTCACCGATGACCTTTTCAATCTTCACTTCCACTGAATCACATGCGTAATAGCAACCTGAGCGTCCTTCGATGACGGTTCGTCTTTGAGGTTGACTTTTAGGTTCCCTTTGGCAGGGCTCCAAACGGCTCTAGCTCCGACTTCTCTGGAGAAGCCCTACCAGACGTTTTACCAAGATCTTAAAATGCTAGGGCCTATGAATTTATTAGAAGGCTACAGCTTTTGAAAAACCTACATAGGATCATTTATTGCTCCTCTCGTCAACAACATGGACTAAGTCCATTGCACCACACAAAACGGCTATATAAAGGCCTCCCATGTATTCACCACAACACATCTCCTCAGCTCCCCTCCTCATTCAACTCAAAACTTCGAAACCATGTTGTCCTAGAGGACCGACCAACTCAACTCCTAGAGTGGTCTGTGTAATACCTCTGGTGTTACGAGTTTGTTTAGTACCACGATTTAGGTCTAAGTAAAATTTTCGAAACGAGTTTCTCGGATTTTTGATTTAAAATGTACTTGAGGCGGTAAGCGAATCCTGTATGACTTAGTTTCGTGGACTCAAATAAACGCTTAAGTTAAATTACGCAGTGCGTAGAAATATTTAGTAATGTCCGATAATGATTCTAGCAGGTAAATAGCGAATGGCTTGTTCGGTTAGATTGAATGTGAAAACAATTTTTATAAACAAAAATATGATATGACTGGTATATAGTACTTAAGTAAAATTCGGAGCATGATTTTGGCTGCAGTTAAAATATCGAGTAACAAACTTAAGTGCTTTAGCCGTGTTTGAAAATATAAATAGTTGGCTTCGTAAATGAATATTTGCGAGCTGAAATAATAACGATAACATCGCTGACCACTCGGCCCACCTACCTCGTCGGTACGACATGCGCGTTGATGGATGAGTTGGTCGGGCTGCTGCTGCTGGGTACCGCTCTGCTTATTTTTCCTCCCTCACTGCTAGTTATGTCGCTTCACCCTACGTCTCGTGTCTTGTCGCTTTGCCTGCCTTGCTTTTCCCTGCTGCCGCGGTCTCATCCTTGTCTGCCTCTGCTGTCTGCCCTGCATTCGTGTTCAAGTGGAGACCGAGCCCCGCGTTGCTTTTCCCCTGCCCTCGCCACGTACTTTCACATTGTGTGCGCGCAACTGACGGCCACGTTACGTCGTCCTTCCCTGTCCCCGCATCCATGCTCTGGCGGGTGTACTGCTGCCCCCTACCTTCGGCTTCTTGAGGACGCTAAGTTGATGCTCGCCTTGCTCACCTCTCTCTCGGACTCTCCCTCTCGATGCTCCCTGCTCCCTGTCTCGCGCGAGCACCCGCCCAAGGCCAGCCGCCGACGCCGCTACCCCGTACCCCACGTGCAGGCGCGCCGAGCCGTGCGCGGCTCCTCGCCTTCCTCTCACGTTCCTGTGCTGCTCCCCCTCCTCTACTTGCCTCACACCGACATTGCCGTGCCGTGCCAGCCGCCTGCCGTCATCTCTTCCATTTCCTCCTCGTGAGCGCGCGCAGCTTCCATGGTCCCGTGCTGAAGTCGTGCCCCAGCTCCTGCTCGCCCCTCCTCGGGTCTACGCCGTCCCCAGCGCCACTGCCGCGTGCAGCTCCGCCTTGCCTCTGTCGAGCACCAAGCACCGCGTGCGAGCGTGCCACACCACCCGCTCCACCTCCCGTCGTCGCCCCTTGGCTGACCGCACGCGTGCCTGGCCGGTGTGTCGTGGGCCTCCTTTGGCTGAGCCGCCGACGCCCACACGCACGGCCGGGTCCGGTGCTGCCCCTGTGCCGCCGGGTCACCGTTTTGCTGGCGGAAATCGGCCGGATTGGACCACTGGCCGCCCCGCCTCTGCTCCAGCTCTGCGTGTGATGAAGGAGAGAAGGGTGAGATATGAAATAGAACATTTCTAGGGTGCTTGATACAAATCGTGTGACTCAAATAAATAGTGTTTGTGTCCTGCGGGTTAATTTAAAGAAAGTACAAGGGTCTCTTAGCAAAATGGTGCCGCCACCGCTGGTCTCACCGCGTGGGCCGTTGCTGGGCCGCTCACGCCCCGCCCCGCGTTGGGTCGTGCTCACCGCGCGCTGGGCCGGCCGGTTGCCTGCGCTGGGCCGCATGTGCACGCTGTGCCGGGCTGGCCGCACCGTTATCACGGGCCGCTGGGCCGATTTGGTTGCCGTCGGTCTTTCCATTTTTCTAAATGATTTTCTAAAATAGGTTTCTAGTTAACTTGTAAAATCAATATAAAATAGTAGAGGAATCTAAAAATTATGAAACCAATTTTGTTAGTCTCCTAAAATCATGATCTACCCGTTAGTATATTTTGTTCACATAGTGTGATAATATTCTTGGGAGCTATATAATTAATTTAAGGTACTTAATATTGTAAAAATATAAACTTGTAGGAATTATGGTGATAAATTGGTAATAGTGTTGAATCTAAAATTTTTATAATAGGCTCCTAGCAATATTAGGTACTCACTGTAATTTTTGTAGCTCCAGAATAATTTGTTTACTGGATTAATAATGATGCCCTATTTGGAATAAAGAAACACCTTGGGTTTTGTATAACTAAAATATTTGTTGGGAAATAACGCCTTATTCGACAATATGGATATGTAGCCTAAGTACGATCGTCGTTAGAACTAAGCTCGTTAACTTGAAAGGTGTAAATCGTATTTTACGAGTTACGATTGAAGTTGATTAATTACGTCTTTGCATTGTATCGCATTGCATATCATATAGGTGCGATGATGGGTCAACCAATCAATTGAAGGATGATTGAGAATCCAATGATGGTGTAATGATATTTTCTCCAGGAGATGATACAATGGGCTTTCTATTCAGTTGATGGTGGATGATCTGAAAATGCAAATACTAACTTTTGGTTATATTTTTACCCAGGCAAGCCCCGGTGCATAACCCCTACTTTTTTGCACTTTAAATTATATTTGTGCATTAAGTTTTCAGGAGTTGAATGAAATCACTTGCATATATATATCCTTATCCTATGAGTCTTACTAGTATGACTGGATTGTGTAGATTGCTATGCTATAGGACTCCGGTAGAAGTCGAGTGATGGTTGTCACCCGCGAGAGATAGGAAATATATTACTGTATTATTATCATTGGGAAAATATAAAATGGTGGAAAGGAAAAATGGTGACCGGGTAGGGATATGGTTTGGGTATTGGTGGGTGTAAGAGGTTGTGTCATCGTGGACGCGGGGCATAGCTTGGTTACACTGATTTCCCTGTATGTGTCGGTTAAGGACCGGCCATTGCATAAGGCTCCAGGCAAGTCACAGACTTATTATCCCGAGACATACTTGGGTATGGGCGTTTGTAAGACTTGTTGCTGTCTTGTCGTGGATCCGGCTCTTTTCGGAACGACTGTCTTGGTGGTTTTTGGTTAGGAGGTCCTTGCACCGTACTGAGTCTAGGACTCAGTGACGGGGCTTCGAGTCCTAGTTTGGACGGGGACCTAGACACCTAGGACAGGAGGGTGATGGGTTGGTCCTGCTTGTGCCTTGGGTATAAGCAGGGCGTGTGTTTTCGGGGTACCCAGCTGGGGGCATTGATTCACGAATCGCTGGGAGATCCGGTACGGCTTGTCTACGGTTTAGCATCGTATTAAGAACTGAAAGATAAAATATGGAAAAAGGAAATCTGATTGCTTACCACCTGCTTTGAAAGTAGCACAGGTGCTTACATAGAATGGTTAGTTAATGAACCAATGCGGCTATTAATAAAAATTAAATATAAGGACAC